TGTACTGAAAAAGAATACGAAATCTAAAATGGCTGCAATAATTTCCATGAACAAAGCAGCTTTCTAAGCAAATATGTGTTCATTTAATATTAAAGAAAGTGCATCTTCAGTTGTATATTTCTACAAAGACTGATATTGTAACAAATAGGTTAAATAAGAAGAAACAGATGTTATAATAATGTGATAATAAGTAACAATCTTGTGTAGATATTAATGCATGAAAAATTGCTAATATAGTGCGTATCTATAAAAAAAACATTGCTATATTTGTAAACACCTGTCACTGAATGAAGTTATTGGGTCATGTAGTATTATGTGTGCCATGTGACCTCTCAGTTTTTAAGTTTTGATAAAAGAAACACTTAGCACATGTTGCCTTCAGGATAAACATTGCTGTTATCATCTGCCTCATGTTAAAAGCAACATGTTTTAGTTTTGTTCTGGATTTGGATGAAATGACATAAAAGAATAATATTAATTCAACTGAAACATTTCTGAAAGTTTGGAGTATCTCATTAGTCTCATCATAACCTCACAATCTTGGTATGATCTCCTGCTGTTAAAAGGATTTTTCGGAAATAGTTTTTTTGTAGTTATTATTTTGAATAATGAAGGGAGGTTATGCTTTAAGCTTCGAGGGTAACACATGGTGGTTGTTTCACTCTAAAGCAGGAAAAGCAGGGGAGTTTAAGCCATTATTATAGAATAGCATATATTAGTTTAAGTAGGTAGATGCATCAGCATGCGTAGGCTGCAAAGCAATACGTATAACATATACAATATTAGGTTCTAATATGTTTATATATTATATATATTTCTAATATATGTCTAATATGGTATATGTTTCATAACATCTATCAGGTTTCTAAAGGTCCAAACGAAGAAAGAAAGGCTCTTGATAAGATAAATTGGATTTCTGTAGCTTTAAACCTCCTTTGTGGTATGGAGTAAATAATGTTTTACTGTTAAGAAGCGGTACATTTTTAATGTTATTCAATTTGCATATAATTACACCGTGGTTAACGAATCACAGAAACTTTGGCTTACTGCTAACTAAAATGCTGAGTAGGTGCAGCCAACACTGTGTTTAGCTTATTGCTTTTTACATAGGAGTACCACCCTGAGTTGGAAATAGGCTTACTTGCGATCGCAATAGACTTGAATAAGAGAAGGTAGTTTATGAAGTGCCATTCTTCATTGTGCCTGAAGATGCTGTAGTCATTGAATTTATATCTTCAGTATAGATATTTAGATCAGTGGTAATGAGACAACCTTTCACTTACAGTAGTTTCAAAATTGGAAAGTGCCTCATGATTCCTGCAAAGCCACGGCCACCTCAGATACTGTCCAGCAGAAGCATGTACTCAAATGCTTCTTTTATCTGTGTTTACTCAAAGTTTCATTGTAGATGAATAATATTCAGTTCCAACATGTTAAGCGTTGCATTGCCTTCCAAATCCTACTCCACCACACAATGCATACAGAATTTACAGTTGATTGGGTTCCATGCTGGGAACAAGAAAAATATTTATCTCACTTACTTGGGTGTATGGCTTTTCACATACTTGATGAGTGTCACATTGTTTTCATGCTCTGCTGCCAAACGCTTCCAACTGTGGGAGATCTTTTTTGTGCTGTGGTCACAGGGATGAGCATAAACAGCCTAGATTCTAATTCTTTCTGAACCACTCGTTCATTTCCTGACTTTAAGTGATTCACTGTTTCTGCAAAACGGTAGTGAGAGCAGCGCATTCCAGAAAAATCAGACCTCTCTAAGAACCTTAAGACTCAATTCTAAGTAACACCTTATTTATAATATTGTACACAATAGAAAATTGAAGAGAGAAGACCATAAGGTGAGCTGATCCAAGTATTCAAAATTCTCAAGGCCATTGACAAAGTCAACCCAGTGAAAATCTTAACACTTTTTCTCTGTGTACTACAGAACACGAGAACAATGATAAACAAGGGAACTTCAAGTTTAATTTTTGTGTACATGTGTTGTAACAAAAATACTATTTTGCCTAAGATAAAATCAAGGTTGAAAAGTACACTTAAATAAGAGATGGCAGTCCTTAGAGGTTTGATTAGAGTTCCCCAATAAGCTCTTCCATGAAATTCAAAAACCATTCATATGCTTGCTGCAAAACTCATTTATATAGGGTATAACACTGCCTTGATTGTCAATTTCTTTCTTGTTTATGTCAAGCCACTTAAAACCCAGAGATTCCCAGTAATTCTTCCCAGCAGCAATCCCACATAAGTGTGGTATTGATACCCATGTATTACAAGAAGAAGAACATAAAACAAACCTTAGAAACACCAAAGATTGTGTCTCCTGTGCTCAACACAGCACACATCTCTGAAAAACAGCCTTGAACATCTTCCAAAACAACTCAAACATTCAAGAACTGTAATCTAAAGGAAAACCACATCTATCCATCAATAGTCCTCCCTAACCACATGTCTCTGATCCATGGTATCAGCTTGCAGTGAAACATGAATATCCAAATGGGATTATACATGAAAGAAACAGAGAAAAAAACTCAATGCATTAGAATTAAGAACTAATCCCACAGCAAGTACAGGCCACCCCACCAACAGCAACTTTGCCTACTTGTGAAGGTCAACAGTTGTGCCCAGTGAAGTGTTTGCAGAGGTCAATGCCATATTAGATTGTGTTTTTCTTGCTGTTGCTGAAACAGGTGCCTGCTTTGAAGCAGGAGGGGTGTGAGAGTGGTGGATCACTACAGATTCCTTGCTTCTTCCGTCCACTTTATTCTTTCTAAGACAAGGAGGGAAGCTGATTCAAAAAGCAAACGGAGAGACACATGGTTTGTCCTTCTACATTACAAAGGCTGTCTCTACTGTGAAGGGATTATCATGCTGTTTTGCAGAACACCAGGGCCAAATGGACCAAGTTCCACTCACACGTTACATTATGGTTCAGCAGAAGTGACTTGTCACTACACTTGGATTTGGAAAGGATATAAAGTATATAAATTCAACACTTTAAAAAAAATGAGCACACTGGCTGATCTGATTTGAGCTGATTACTTTTCACATCCCAGATATTTCTGAACAGGATATATTCACATTTAAGATGTGAAGTGATCCATGGGTAGCACTGACTTTATTTTTAAACAGCTCAATTATATCTTTAACATGTTGACCGATTAAAAGGAATTCTAATTTTAAATACAACAAAGTTATGTATGTATATCTCATAAGTGAGACTTTTTTCATGTTTTTTACAACAAACTAATGAAATTCTCATGTATTTTTTGTCCTTTTGAACATTGTTACACATTAATTACATTAAACAGCCAAAAATGTTATTTCTTTAAAAATAACAGAATTTTTTGTAAAGTCCCAAAATGCCTAATTTAATAACTTTCTTCACTAATGTTAAGTCTCCAAAATACCCTACTTATGTATGTAAAAATTATTTGGGAATTGAGCCTAACATTATTTTGTTTATACAAACTGAGAAAAGATATGAAAAAATATCAATCAAATGAAAGGCTTGTTGAATTAGATATTAAAATATTGAAAGCATTCAATATTTAAGAGCACTAACTTAAACAGTAAAAGTCACTGAAATGCCATTGCTGACCTAAGAGGTGAAAATGGGAAACCCTTACTGTAGGTCATATCAAAGGAAATGCGACTCAAATCCTGTTAAAATGCATCAACTCAGTCTGTACCAAGTGGAATAAACTCATTATTCAGGTTATATTTTTCAGTAGATCTTCAATGTGTCAACAAAAATGAATGAAAATGAACAACAATGAAGAAATTAATATGTCTGACATCTATGGCCCTTGCAGGCTATGCATTTTTACCTCTTGCAGAAAACTAAGCAAAGATAAAAGCAGATGGACATTACTGACTTCCCGCACAGCTATCCAAATTACTGTGACTGCTTCTATGTTTGCCCAATGTCATTCAACACTTTATTATTTATTTTTTGCTTCTTTTATGTAACTGACCCATGAAATCTGTCTTACATGTAACCCTTCTTTAATGGACTTTCCACAATCCAAATCACAAGCTAAGATTTTCCAGTGTAGTATAATATATTACACTTGAATGTAGGCAGAAAGGTTTTGGCTCTGCTGGTACTCTCTTCACTGCAGAATTCTAACTTTAGTGCTAGAGTTCAAATATAGATATGGCCGAAATGTTATCATGAAATCAGCCACTGACGACTATCTTTTCATATATTTCAGCTTCTGTCTGCCACATACACTGAAAAAGGATTAGAAAACCTTTCACAATGTTCAAAAAGGTTTTGATTTAATATCGCATTTTAATTACTTCTCAAATAGTGCTTAATGATCAATTAAAATAAAAAAGCCCAATGAAACTTTTTCTTAACTACAACCATTTGTGAAATTGTGAAGGAATTTCATTCCTATTACAAAAACCTACTAGAAATGTTTTTGTTTACTTCTTAAAAAATGCCTTTCTTTACATATTACACACATGAAAGGAACATACCCATATGCTCACAATCAAGGAATACAATTAAAAATATATATTCGTTTTTTATAGCTACACATTTCAGACATGGAAAGTATCTGTGTACTACACTTGAAGGCAGAGTACAGGGTAATAGTGCAAATGCAAATTGAAGCAAAATAATACAAGAAAAGGGAACAATACAATGATCAAATAAACCATAAAAGTACTGCAAATATACTTAATGTTCACTTAAGACATCGAGGAAATTTTTCAGCTTTCTGCAAGCTCACTTAATGCTTAAAAATGTTCTCCTAACTTGTACCTTCTTTTTCACTTTTCTAGACTTTTGTGATGCTGTCAGATATTAATATTCTAACTTGTTAATGTGCTTTCATGTATGAACACATTTAGTGCCAAAGCAAAAATACATATATAAGTTCTTTAATAAAGTCCTTCAAAGCAAAACCTTCTCGGCTAATAAAAAGTAAACTCTGTAGGAGCTCACACATACAAAAACACGTGAAACCACATACCTGTACAAATCCGCACATCACATAGTCATCGAACACTGGAAGACTGGGACGGTTTTCTCTGTAAATGTTGATAGTGTAAATTGTCATGACAACAGGTTCTGCTTGCGACTCATCCACCACCAGGATACTTATTCTGCTGTTTCCCAGGCCCACAGGGTAGTTTGCAGTTCTGTGGAAAACATCAATAGGGCCTTGGAGATATTTCAGGATTTCGAAAGGATCTCTCAGATCTATCAGTTGACAAAATACACTGCATGCAGAGTTCATTGCATTTAATGATATAATGATAACCTTTTCTCAGGAAACTACAGCACGTGGAACTGTAAGTATTACACCTTCACTTATTTAGAATGAACTGTGATTTTTCTGTTGTTTTAGCTAATTTCAATGGGTGCTGTCCTTTGCAGTCTTTTAATACATAATATAACTGAAGAGCTTGCAAAGCATCAATCACCACGTGTGAATATCGCCCAAAACCCCAAAAGGGCTATAAAAATTAAAAGAGGAGGCTGGCAAGTCAAAGAATACTGATTACATAATCAAAAAGGCCATTGTTTAAATTCTTAGCGCTTTGTGACAGAAAATGTCAGGAGCAGCTTTAAGGAAACTTCCAGCCTTTTAAATAAAGAGTGCACCAACACTATTCTAGAGAAACAAGTCTGTTATAAATAATCTCTGCTTTCAGCACGTATTTCACAATCTATGTGCTATTTAAAGAAGGTGTTTTTGTTAATATAACATGCTGAAAATACTACCCAGAATTATCTAGCAATTATTCTTGAATGTGTGCCTGGAACAGCACGGGCATGGACTGCAACTGATACAGTAACAAAGAGCAGGGTGGTCAGCAAGGGATGAAAGGAAAGGAGTAAGTGAGCAATTTGCAGGATTGGCAACAGATTCTGAAGTGCCTGTATGTTAGCCCTTTGCAACTCAACTATCTTAACCACCGCCAATGTGAAATTAAGCTGTCAAAAGGTACAGACAAAAGACTGTTTTCTGTAACCACCAAACCAGGTAAAGTAGAGTATCTCTGCTGACCGCTGAGAGAGAGGCCATTATCTGGAATGTGACCTTTCTTGGCACTGGAACACAGACGTTGATATGGAACATAGACGCCTCTGTCATGGCTGTCTTTCACTCCTCTTCTTTTCCAAGAACTGCCGCACAACAGGGCCCATGAACTGGATCTTCACACATCATCAGTTTGATTTTTGATATGCTTTGAGCTTTTGAGGGAGAAAACCCTTGCTTCATATGTGGTTAAGAGGCTGTATCTTTCTGGACATATAACTTATTTGAACAGTTACACACCAGTAAGCAAAGTGATTTAGCAAGACTATGATGTCCAGGACATGACACCTTGTAAGCAAGGTATGAGATTAAAGAACAGTCCAATTGAGCCTAATGATGTCTCAATTAATGTCTGAGTTACAGAAGCCATTATACAAATAAATCTGATTAATTGCTATAAGATAAATGTGAAACAAGTATGAGTGATCTTTGCCAAAAAGAATCACAAGAGCAGATTCACTTAAAAAAACTTAAAAGCAAAACTACATATAATCATGAATGATATTCATAATTACAGGCAAACTTCAGCTTAAGTGAGTTGATTATAGTGCTTTGTAAAATGCATTCACATTCACACTATTTAACATTAACCTATTTTAAAAAAAGGTACATACTGTACAAGATGTGAAAGAGAAAAAAAGATGGCTCGTGAACAACAAAAAAGAAAGGTTTCATGCGGTACGAACTGCTAGGTAATAGGAATGACATTCATAAAATAAGAATAGTTACAGAGAAGAGGAAGTCATTAGGCTTATCTGGCCTGCTTGGCTGTTAGTAGCTAACAGATCCAAGGATCTCATCCAGCCGTTTAATTGAAAATGAAGTCTACCTTGGTCCCTTCCTCTCCTCCAGATGCACCTGGCAGCGACAGTTGACGGGTTCTGCTCTAATCTTCACCATCACCACATCAAATGGCACTTCAGAATAGTACTCTTTGATCCGGGGGGTGAAGCGAGGAGTTAGTTCCAGTGGAGGGTCTGTATACAGCTGTCTGATGTGGGGGACTGTACACTTCTCTGTACCACAGCAGGAAAAAAAGCAAGGCAATAAAATTCCACAGGCACATATGCCATGCGTATCCCCAAATAGCATAACCTGCTAATAACTTACTGAAATAATATTCATCCTCAGGTCTGTGAAATAACTGGAATAAACATCTATATACAGTACACACATCAAACACATTATTGTGCCACCTGGACAAATTCAAACACGACATTTTGCTGGCGTTTAACACCAAATTTGCTCAGCAAAACACAGAATCCACCTTTGTGAACAATCCCAGCAGCACATAAAGAACTCCAGGCAATCTATCACACAGCATGAACTGTGTATTTTGGTCCATTCTCATCCATTCATTCCATGCACTTCACAGCACATCTTTGTAGTTGTATTGATTATTATTAAATACTATTATTTACATTTCTGTTTTCTTCACCTGCCAAGCCCATCCCATAACTTTTCAGTGGAGTTAGGTTCAGATATCATCAAAGACTAATCCATCAAATTCAAAACTTATTCTTTGGTTCAAAACTCTGGTTTTAGTCTGGGTATGATTAATACGATACATATCTGTATAATGTACATATAAGTGTAAATAGTACCTTTCAAACTAAAGATGCTATTGCATGATGCTGAAGACTGTATGATACTGTGTTTTTATCTAATGCTTGCCAACAAGTACAACATCCCAAAACATTATTTTTACCACATCTCTGTTGTGCTGTGGGCACAACACCATTTTGACAATCACTCTTCTCTTTATTCTGCCCACATACAATTTGCTCATGGAGCTATTTTTTTAATTCTGACCAGAAACTTATTTTTCAGAGCTTTCAACAATGATCAATGTTCCTAGTTCCTACTGACATTTTGCTTGAGCTGCCCCTCGCCACAATACATACAGTAAGCTCCATGAAGATGTGTCTTTACTGCTTTATTTGATGTTAGGAGATTTTGTTTAGGAAATGTGCAGCAAGCTGATGGGTGCTTAGGGATTGTCAAAAATTGGGAGTACATGATTGTGGTCTGGATTCCATGATGCAAAATGTTGACTTTACATACCCTTTTACACACAGAATTAATTTCCTTAGTAAGGGTAATTATGGATACACAGTAGTCATATTCAATCTCCTTTCTTGGATTATGGCAGCTCCCTTATTGCATATTCCTGTGTAGTGCTCAAAGTATGACGTGGATATGGTAATACAAAAGTTTTAATGTTGTTTAGCCACTACACAAACTGGAGGTACAGATATATTAAAAACAGAAGCTGTATTTGTAAGGACACAATGTCATATAATGCCCTCAGGAAGGCAATTTGTAGGTGGAGGGTTTTTTATTCAGACCTCCAGTATACATCTATGTTACACGAAGAAGAAATAAAATCAACATGCATGCAAATATATGTGAAACACTGGCCAGTGTCTTGGCCTTAGCACAATATAATGCATAATGAATATAATACAGGCAAAAGAAGACTATGACCAGCAGTGCAACCTCTGGGAGATCATTAGGACTGAATGATCAGTGACACAATACAGCCTAGCTGTGTACCAGAATGGCTACCGCATATACAGTGCCTTGCGAAAGTATTCGGCCCCCTTGAACTTTTCAACCTTTTGCCACATTTCAGGCTTCAAACATAAAGATATAAATTTTTTATTTTATGTGAAGAATCACCAACAAGTGGGACACAATTGTGAAGTGGAACGAAATCTATTGGATTTTTGAAACTTTTTTAACTAATAAAAAAATGAAAAGTGGGGCATGCAAAATTATTCGGCCCCCTTGCGTTAATACTTTGTAGAGCCACCTTTTGCTGCGATTACAGCTGCAAGTCGCTTGGGGTATGTCTCTATCAGTTTTGCACATCGAGAGACTGAAATTCTTGCCCATTCTTCCTTGCAAAACAGCTCGAGCTCAGTGAGGTTGGATGGAGAGCGTTTGTGAACAGCAGTTTTCAGCTCTTTCCACAGATTCTCGATTGGATTCAGGTCTGGACTTTGACTTGGCCATTCAAACACCTGGATACGTTTATTTGTGAACCATTCCTTTGTAGATTTTGCTGTATGTTTGGGATCATTGTCTTGTTGGAAGATAAATCTCCGTCCCAGTTTCAGGTCTTTTGCAGACTCCAACAGGTTTTCATCCAGAATGGTCCTGTATTTGGCTGCATCCATCTTCCCCTCAATTTTAACCATCTTCCCTGTCCCTGCTGAAGAAAAGCAGGCCCAAACCATGATGCTGCCACCACCATGTTTGACAGTGGGGATGGTGTGTTGAGGGTGATGAGCTGTGTTGCTTTTACGCCAAACATATCGTTTTGCATTGTGGCCAAAAAGTTCAATTTTGGTTTCATCTGACCAGAGCACCTTCTTCCACATGTTTGGGGTGTCTCCCAGGTGGCTTGTGGCAAACTTTAGACGAGACTTTTTATGGATATCTTTGAGAAATGGCTTTCTTCTTGCCACTCTTCCATAAAGGCCAGATTTGTGCAGTGTAAGACTGATTGTTGTCCTATGGACAGACTCTCCCACCTCAGCTGTAGTTCTCTGCAGTTCATCCAGAGTGATCATGGGCCTCTTGGCTGCATCTCTGATCAGTCTTCTCCTTGTCTGAGCTGAAAGTTTAGAGGGACGGCCAGGTCTTGGTAGATTTGCAGTGGTCTGATACCCCTTCCATTTCAAGATGATCGCTTGCACAGTGCTCCTTGGGATGTTTGAAGCTTGGGAAATCTTTTTGTATCCAAATCTGGCTTTAAACTTCTCCACAACAGTATTACGGACCTGCCTGGTGTGTTCCTTGGTCTTCATGATGCTCTCTGCGCTTTCAACAGAACCTTTTTTTATTAGTTAAAAAAGTTTCAAAAATCCAATAGATTTCGTTCCACTTCACAATTGTGTCCCACTTGTTGGTGATTCTTCACATAAAATAAAAAATTTATATCTTTATGTTTGAAGCCTGAAATGTGGCAAAAGGTTGAAAAGTTCAAGGGGGCCGAATACTTTCGCAAGGCACTGTACATACTGTATCAGATAACTAATAAGGACATTGACTGTGTTCAGTAACATACTAGTAAAGCCTCCTGCCTCTTGAGAATCCTTTTGTGGGGGTTTGTAATAACAACATGTTAACACAATAATTGTGACACTAATGATATGTACATATATGTGTGTGTACTCGTACATAAATACACACATCCAAAATACATTTATTTTTTAAAGCAAAAGCATTTATAAAGCTCAGAAGGATCCAACTTGGAAATTCAAGCAGTGGCAACTTGCATCTGCAAAACACTGATCTGTGGGAGCTATAAATACGAACAACACTGAAAACTGAAAGTTGCACAAGGACCCAAAACAGTAAATCTTCAAAGCTGCTCACAGCAGGCAGAGGAAATGAGTGGTTTACCCAACATCCAACTTTAAAGTATGAATTACAATTTAATTCCTAGTAAATCCTTCATCTTATCAGTACATAATAAATTGATACCATTATATTGAATAAAAAATCTAAATTCCCTAAATCAGATTAGCTGTATTACTCTTACGCCTCTTCAAAGTCCAATCAGGGCACTGTGGTAAGCAATTTTAATATTAAGCTAATATTAAGCTTGGGGTTTTGATATGTCATACCAGATACACACTGATATGTACTGTACTTTGACTATTGTCCCCAGTTCCTCACAAATGGACCATATTTTTTATTGGAATATTTTTGTTCATTTAAACACTGGTTTCCATTAAAATATTGTACTCTATACAATACACTACATGTCTCACAATACTGTATTGTTAATTGCAGTGGCGTATGTCAGGGTACAACAGATATTATTTTAACATACTGACAAATATTGTTTTATCTCCTGGCTATTTTACTGCGTACAGTATGTCTTCGTTTGATACCTACTCATTATTGATCTATTTCTCAGCTAAAGGTAAAATGATCGTATCAGTTTGATCTGTGATTACATATGATAATAATACGATCTTATGATATGATCATTATAATCTGTTTAAATTAAGTGAAACAGTCAGCAGTAGAGACATTTTCAGCTGGACTCTTAATTGGTTGTCTGAATTGACAGGGACCTTTACGTTAAAAAAACAATGCTGTTTTATCTATGTGTTTTAATAAACATAAAAAATCATCTCAAAATACGTTTACAGAGCACGCACACAATGAAAAATGAATACTGATAACTGGGAACTCTATAAATTTAAATGGAGGGTTAACAATATCAGGATACAGATATGAACTCTGCAGTCTCATACTGCATTTAATAAATATATCTACTTGGTTACACTTACCATAGGCACATTCTGATTGTTGAAAACTGTCTGTGGAATAAAGAGAAAATCATAATAAGTGATTTAAAAATGTGCAATGTGCTATATAATATATCTTGTACAGAATTATGTGTATCTTGTTTTGTATTAACATTATCATTACATGACCAATATATTAACATATAATCTTTTTAAAATGTATTGCCTGTATTTGTGACTGTATACTGTCATTTATATACGTTCAAATTGACCCTTTCCTTACCTTTCTGGTGAGTATCTATGTTTTCAACAACACCAAGGGGAATTCTGTTACTTTGTTTTTCGGGATCTGCAGTCCTGCGAAAATTCAACAAGATTAAATTGTACTCATTCAGTTTCAAACTGAACTCCACAGACTACATTCCAAAATATTAATATTGAAAAGATGTCACATCTTATGTTTGGACAATGAGCCCAATAGGTTTTGGTGCCAGTAAGTGTCTCTCAAATTCCAGATCAGCATATCAAAAAGAACACACTCTAAAAAACATGTTAGAAGGCAAAGAATTAATCATTTATAAGATTCTGTTAGCTACTGACAGATCTTTATTCCTCTTTCAAGACTTAACATTGTTGAACTGATCTTAGCATGTTAAGAGAAATTTTGGAGAAATTTTGAGGAAAAGGAATTTTCAGTGAACAGTCAGACAATGCTCTGAATTAAATTAAACCCATTATTATGTATATTACTAATTATTAAAATATATAACTGATTAACACATATGCAAAGCCAAAACCGTTTTTTCATGCCTTTCATCTTGCGAAGATTAGTCTTTACAGAGGTGTGGTGGTTTGTTGAGATTCCTGGATTCTCCCCTGGCTCCCGTCAGTCATGTAATCTCAATTACACTCTTCAATCATCGCCTATGTTGAACTGTGACACCTTAAACCCCTTCTGCATTACGTCTTTTATATTGATATATGTTATATGTTTAACCCTCAGCAAAGCTACTGAACTCAATAACACTGAACTCAAACACTGAACGTGCACTGAAACGTCAAGAATAATTCTAGGAATTACAGGTAACGGCACTGCCACATACCTTAATTAGCATTCAGTCAATTTGGCGTATATTTATAAAGAAAACATGTATTACATTAGCTTCCTGCAAACATGCAATGTTAAATAAGAAAATACAATCTATAACACAGCCAATACTCAGCCTTTTTATAAATACAGCTGTTCCTAAAACGACAAAAGCTTCTGACCTTTGAGAATGATCCAGACTCTTCTTTAAGAGAGTAGAGTAGATTCTGTCTAATAACTCTGTGACACAGTGATTCACTGCAGCAGCATCATTGAGCGAATCTTCTCTTCCATAAACTCTTTGGGAAAGATTGTCCTGAAATGTTCTGAGTTGAGGTGAATCTGATGGATAAAGCTGAAAATGGAAACATTGCCATTACTTGAGTCTGACTTTAGTTCAGTCTCAAGCACATAACTACAGTTACTTACAGTAGCTCAATAATAGTTGTTTTAGCTTTGTACTGTGTATCAAAATAGTTTTAAAATCAGAAAAAGCTTTGAAGGACAGTCACTTTAACACTCTTGAAGAAAAAATCATAAAACATGCACTTCATCAAAGGTTAGGTCAAATAGTTTTCAGAGACTTTTTAAAAGCAATTAATTACCATTTTATGTGTTTTTCTTCTAATACTTATTAATATCTTTCATATTGAGACAATTCTTCAAATATCAATTTAGAATAAAAACAATGCTTCTTAAAAGTAAAATATGTGTCATTAGACTGATACTATATAACTTCTAAATTACTGCCCAAGAGAAAATTGATATTTACACAACTAATAAATACATGCATTTCAGGATCTAGTATAGATACTAAGGCAGGATGTACCTGTTCTTAATTCTAATATAAAATAAAGAAGTAAAAATAATACACAATTGTTTTGTTTCTTATTACTCATATTATGTTCAATAAGTAGTAAAACAAAATATACCAATTCAAAAGGTCCTTGTTTTTTTAGTTGCCTTAGAAACTGAATAATCAAGTGAAAGTCCTCAGAAGTTGGACAGCGGCCTTGTATTCCAATGTAACTTTCATCCTGTGAACAAGTGAAAAAAACAAGATTTTTTTCTCAACACACAGTCACACTGTATTTGAAATATTTGAATAGAACTACCAGCGCCATTCATATAAAAAACCTAGAAAGAAATCAAAGTCTGTGACAGAAAGAGTAGTTCTTGTTGTACATTTCAACAACCACTTTGAAGATGTCTGACGTTTGCTAGAGTTACCTTCTCACAGTGAACAATGTAATACTTCAAAGCCCTTGGATGTGTACCTCTTGTTTTTGAGCCAATGTTAAAACATATAAATCACAGATCAAACTGAACTGTGATTCTAACTCAGAAAATGCACAGACTTCTTAATAGTTAATTATTAACATTTATATATTATTTATATATTTTAAAGGAACAAGTAAAGGTTAATTCTGCACTAAAAATTAAAAAAGAAACACAATGTTATGACTATTGAGGCATCTTCAGGTTATGTGATATATAAATATAAGATATGATAAAATCTTCAAATAAATATTTCCTTTAAAACAAAATGCATCTGAAAATTGCAACAGAACTTGCAGAAACTATAATTACTGTTATTTTGAAGACACAGAAACTTGTCATATCATCAAGAATATGATAAAATTATTTTTTAATACATATAGTATGTATAAATTTGAATAAATACTATGATACTTCTGAATAACCTGTACAATTTCTTTCACAGATATCTTGCAACATATTACAGTAAATAAATATTCTTACCTTTCCCCATAATTCACTGACTGTGTTCTTTAGAGTCTGAAGTGCTTTCTCATTTTCACCATAAGTGGATAACACAAAGTTCATTGTATCCTCAAGGAAGAACTTCTTTATTTGGCCATCAAAACCTGGATCTTCTGCATCATCAAAGTTTAATTCATCATGTACCTTTGAAAAAAGGTGAAAATATTCCTTGACAACCCATACATTTTTAACCCATTTTATGCCAAAATCCACGCAATTGACAAGACAGAATGTGGTGATGGATGGTTTTTGATGACATAGCGCCCTCTGCTGGAGACTAAGTGTCTACGTCCATCCATCCATTTTCTAACCACTTCTTCCAGCTCAAGGGTAGCAGGGGAGCCTATCAAGCAACGGATGATGCTTGAGAGCTCATCATCATCATGCTGCCCACTAAATATTTCATTTAAAAAATATACAATCTTTTAAAGATGTCTGAAAGCAAAATTTTCTTACCCATTTTGTATTCCTGGGATATTCTATATGTGTAGTGTAAAACCTTGAAACAATTATAAATAAAACTGAAAATCAACTGCAAAACTGAAAAGAATGATTGCACATAAAAATGCACCTCTGAATTTTAGTACTTTCAATTCATTATATGAATAAATTACACAGAAACCTTTTTAAAAATTAACAGTAAATAGGTTGAAAACATATATCAAATGTGTTTGTTTTTGTTCCTGCCCATTCCAGGAGGTTTGTAAATAAAGGTCTTCATTATACCTCCTATTTGGGTTACACACTTCTAATCGCATTAAACCCATTTGTGAGTCATTAAAATATGACATAATTAACAGAATTAGAATAAAAAGCCCATTTGTAAAAAGCTCATTTGTATTTGTTCTCTGCTTTCATCGTCTTTTGAAAGGCAGCATTGGAGAATGAGGGCATAACCATAACTCTTCTGAAAAAAAGGTCATCATGGCACTAAATAACGCTTCAAGACTTTTGGCTGCAGGATCCATTTCTTCCACACTTGGCGTACACACCATACATACTCTCCTCAATGCACAGTTTAGTTTATTACATCGAAAGGAATTGTGTGAATGAAAAAGTAGCATACATTTTCGAAGACGGAAATGTGCTACGAGTTAAGAAAAGAACTGCAGTTGGTAAAAGAGTCTCGGGTACAGTATGTCTGTTCCTTTTGAAGAATATCCAAAGCCTTCACCAGTATTCAGATATTTTTAAAAGCATATCGGCAGCACATCCTTCTGAGGAGTGGTAACATTGAGAAACTTGTTAAAATGTTAAAAATACCACACACCCACTTTTAACTAAAATAAAAATCCTGGCTAGCTGTCTACTTTGAAACATAACCATACGAAAGACGGTTGACAACAGAAGAAAGGAGAGCTCAGACACCCTGTAGCTGGACCTTATTTTCCAATACCGCTCTTTCAGTCACCGTCTTCGGTTTTGCATTCCGTTACTGCCACCTAGTGCTCAACTGGAGTAATTTAGTACATTCTTAGTAGTCAATTGCAATTGAATTGACAACAAAGGTTGACAACCTCTGTTTTGCCTCCAGCAGCTGATAATTTTCTGTCTATGGCCTTACACATTTTGTGCTAATCATAGATCAGAAACAGACTTTACCTTCAGAACTTCAGGCACCAGAGAGGAGTTCAAGCTTACTGTGAAGGTCATCATCTGAAAACAGAATCTGCATCTTCCAACACAGAAAGAAGAATTAGTACACAGTATTTAGAGTTTCACCATCATTGAGCAGAACACTGTTATACTTCTATTTTATCTCATTAATTGTTACTGAATCACATTCAGCAAGATATCTATGCATACAATCATCAAGGGGAATATCACTGTACATGGAATGATTACAGATACTGGAATTTTTGTATTGTCCACTTAACCCAACACCCCCAAGTGAAAAGTAATGCATGCACATGGTAGATATCTACTGCCTGAAATCTGTGCATCATGTGGGGCTCATACACAGAGAGGAGAAAGTGTTCTGAGAACATGTGGAAATCTCGAGAGAGTTTAGCTCTAAGCCTATGTTTAATGCAAGACCTTGGGCTTGGGTCAAGGGTGAGGTTATGTTTGAACATAACAAAGAAGATGTTTGAAGTTAGGGTTCAGTCTAAATGAAGTTCAACATGCAAGCACTGCTAGAAATAGCTGCAATGGACATTAAAAAGTTGTTTTCAAACTCTGCATACAAGATTAAATACTCTAGATTGATGATTGATAAAGGAAATAACTTATCGCTCCAAATTTGAGCAAAAATTTGAGCAAAAAAAAATCCAGTCATCTGGATTCTCTGTATTTTTGAGTATATTCTTGTTTATTTTGCTTAACTACTGTACATAAGGAAAAACATATAACTGTTAGTAACTTTTCATCAAGACTAGCCTTAAGGGTAGCTGATGAAGCATGCTTGCATCTGCAATTTAAATGGAAAAACAACACTAGTGTACTTGAAATTATAACTGACAATACTGCAGTTACCACAATTTTATGTTTTATTAAACCCAGGACTATTGTCACCCTTACATTGTTAACATGTGAATTACATGGTAGAATTTTGCAGGAAGGGTTTCCCCATTTTTTTGCTTTTTAAGTAACAATATACATATGACTGAACCTTAATTATTAGTCATGAGTACTTTTTATTTATGCATTCTATCATTAAAAAATAGCGTCAGCTGTAGGATCAAATTTCATTCTGAAGCACTCCCAGTTCTCCCAGGGCAGTCATGATTACAGGGAAATTACATTTGCTGACCTGTTAAACAAGACAAGACCTTGTCCTGTTAAATGCTAGCCCAGCAGGCTATAGTGGTTGCACTTCCATGTAAAAAGGACTGATGTCACCAGACTAACCTTGTTAAAGATTTTGTTTTTGCAGATGTTTCACTAGACAGAACTGCTGCCATTAAAATCTTGCTTATGGCTTCCTTGATGTTTTTCAAAGCTTGAAGCGAGGCATCTGTTCCAAGGTATTTCTGAAATAATGTCTGCAACTGAGAGAAATTTCACGCTTGATTAGATTCGGTGGGTGTTTCTTACAGATAAAAAGAGAGGTCAGATAATATTTCACAGTCAAATTATATTACAAATTAAAATTTAAGACAGACAAAAACATTGCCTAAAATGGAATGATAAAAAGTGTTGTGTGGAAGGATGTCTCAAACATGTAACCTTCATTTTAGTAGTGAGAGACAAACTCCAATATCCATACCAAGAGCTGCACAGTATTTAGGCCCCAAGACCTCGCAATGATACACAAAGCACAACACATTTAATTAATGTTAATAAACTGAGAGTAGGAGAAGATATTAAGAAAAA